CCTTAAATATGTTTATTAGCCTCTATGAAGAAAAGAGGTAGAAAGTAAAAAGTGTTTTACCCATCTCTCATGTTTCCGCATATTGAAATGGATAAAAACTTTACCTGCTATTTTTTTTTTTAAAAAAAAATATGCATCTTAATTCTACATTTTAAAGTTGGCATCTTATATATATATATATATATATATATTTTCATGTTAAAACCTAACTCAAAAGGTTACTTAGTAAATGAGGTTTCGCCATTTCAAAATCGATTTGGTCATTTCAAAATCGATTTGGCTATTTGAAAATCGATTTGGCCATATTTTTTTTAAATATGTGATTTGGCTATTTGAAGCAGCACTTAACACCTTGACCCACACCCAGCACTTGATAACCATTTGATAACCAAGTTACTAAGTAAATGAGGTGCTCTCTCTTACTACCTTAACTCACAACCCTTCAAAAAGCTGGGAACCTCATACTACAAAAAAATACGCTCTCAAACCCAATTCTAAACCGTATTAAATGGGTTTTCAACATTAAAACAACATTTTTCAACATCAACATTAAAATAATATAGAAGCATATATTGTTGCATCATCCATTGTTAGTTGGACTTTGTAACTTCACCCATTGAATTTATGTGAAATTATAAATTGTCTTGCATATTTTCATAATATTTAAATATTAAATTATATAAAAAGTTGTATCAAAATTATTTATAAGATATATGTATGTAATATGATGGAGTATACTTAATCTAAGTTTTTCTTTTTGTTTTTAATTTGTTTTGGGGATTTTGACCTTTTTTTTTAAAAAAAAATCTACTTGAACGGTTAATCGCTCCGATTAGTCCGGTTCCGATTCGAACCGCTCCCAGCCTCATGACCAGTTAACCGTTCTGGTTTGATTTTGCGAACATTGATTGATCTACACTATTTTTAAAGCTTTAAACTTTATAAATAAAGATGAAAATATATTTTAAGGCTATCACAAAGATTTCCAGTATTTAAACCACATTTCTCAACACTAGACTCTAATTTGATCGTTTAGAGCCTCGGCTCTTTACAAAGAGCACCCATAAATAAATGGGTAAGCTTTCTATGCCTCCCCTACAACATAAAATTTATATGTTTCTCCTTATCCAACAATCCATTTTGAATGGAGGGTTAAAATTGCCCCAATCATAATGTCACATCTTTATACTACTTTTTTTTTCATGGTTTTTATATAAACTATTTTGATACCAAATCTTTTACGTTCCAATGCTCTATTAAACTCGCACCAGTGAAAATTATAAAATAAATATTTTCAATAACATAAAATGACCAAAATACTCCTAAAAGTTTTAAGGAGTATTTTGATCATTATATTTTATCGAAAAATTATTTTGTATCAAATTTAATATTCATATAATTTGTATAAAAAAAATAAAAATAAAATAATTTGAGACATCAAATCAAATATCAAACGGTGAGAAACTCTTCTATGCTTTCGGGGAAGTATAGAAACCTTTCCTTAAATAAATTGGCGGTGGAAAATGCGTTGATGGTCACTAATTTCTTCCGATAAAAGGTCCAGAAATTAAAAATTCTGGAATGCATGGAAAGGAGGTTTTCTAAGTCGAAAAGTAGTTGAAATTTGAGAGGTCACCGCCCTCTTTTTTGACCAAAACCACGTGAAATGGGCCAAATCCGAATTTCAAACCACTCGTGCACCGTTCACACGTGCGAGAAGATCGTCATGAGGTCAAGCGACAATCCTACTGGAGAAAGGGCCTGAAAGATCATGGAAATTACAAAAACAGCCCCCTTTAAGTCACTTAATTGGGATATCTTAACTCAAATCGGGATTCAGTATTCAAACTTTCGAATCTAGAATTTGGAGCTTTTAAATTAGTGCAAACCTCATGTTTTTAAAAGAATTGAAATGAACCATCCCAAAAAAAAAGGTTATAAATTAGATCCTTTTTAAGGCTCAAAATTTGAATTCTTTTTAGATTTATGATCGATGTGCTTGTGACACAAAACAAACGACTTTAAGACTCGAAATCAATTTCTTGTTGGATTCATAATCTTGGCGGTTGCCACTAAATAGTCCATTTTAAGGCTTAAAATCCATTTCTTTTTAGATTCATGATCATAATGGCCGCTAGCTAAGATGATATATTTGTAAAGTTTCAGTTACCATATCCATCTTCAAAATAGGGTTTCAGTTATCCCATCCATCTCAAGAAATCGTATTTTGAAGAGTGGACACATGCAATCGAGGGCGTACCTCAACCTATCGATTAGAGTAAGTCACCCAAAGATTTGCTCATTTATTTCTAATCGGATTGGGTTTCAAAAAGTTTTACGCGATTTTGAATCAGGTCAGTAATATCTTAAGCTGCGAATAACATCAGGAGAGGAGCACCTCAATTTCAAACAAGAAACAAAAGAGGGAGAGAGCTCAATGGCTTCCAATTCAACATGATTGCTTATGACTTACTAACATTCTAACAAATAGAAGAAATGACAGGACTCCTTCTCATTAGCCGATCATGCAAAGTAGATATGATATAATCCAAAATTCCAAAGATAAAAGTATACAAAATAGTCAAAAATGATTTCTCACATTTGAATCAGTAACCCACAGATCAAAATCCACGTCTTATTTACAGGGTTCCAAAAGAATCATATCATTGAGAGAGAGAGAGAGAGAGAGAGGTGGATTCAAAACAAGACCTAAAACTGACCCATTATGCCAGAAACCCTGTAAAGCCCCTTGCAAAATCAAAAGAAAGCCCATGAAAGAGCTTAACAAAACTCAGACAACATAGGCAATGCAAATACCTGCTAATTTTGTGCAGCTTCTTCACCAGTCCAATAGGTTTTCACAGCAAGAAGTATTTTCTCAGGGTTGAAAGGCCCACTCTCATGGTCCATGATCTGGCTCTTCCATCTCATTCCCTCTGTTATCCCCTGAATCTTCACAAGAACTTCCACTGTATCCCTAAATATAACGGTACCCTCTGGCCTAAGAATCCTATCCATCTCCAAAAGAATGTTTGAAATGTCACACCTGCATATTTGAGAGAGAAAAAATAAACACTCCAAAGAATACTTCCAGGTAAATATAGCATTTCTCTGGATAGAATCTTCTATGGCTTAATCAATGTCACTCTATGCCATGGTTTAGAACAAAAATCATGACCTCAACTAAGGACCAGTAATCTTATTGTAATATTGCAATCGTGATAATGAACAGTTTTAAAAATGAATAACATATGGTAATTAGAATGTTTTACAAGTGATTTCAACCAAGAACCACTACAGCACTAGCAGTGCAAATAATGTTGTTTTGAAGCACACTGTGCTACACTTCTGCAGCTTAAAATTTCCTGGTGTGATTTTAGCCAGAAACCATCGACCTTTCTGATGTGAATTCTGTTTTCTAAAATCTAACTTCCCAATGCGAACTTCGTTCTTAAAGTTTCCTTATTTCTCCATATTATTGGTGCCAAAATTTGGTAAACTCTCTGACCATGAAAACATCCAGTGCAATTGTGCTAAAAACAGTTGATTTTCCAAAATAAACTCCATTATACATTTTCCGTTGTCATTGGTTTTTTTACTCATTTGAACATTTTTTTTTTAATAAGAATCACCATATAAAGGTTGACCATAGTTTTTCAACCATTTAACCAATTTTCACTGTTTCCTAGAAGATATCACTAGTACAAATTTTCCCTTGGTATTTCATTCATTTGAACAATTTTCACTCTTTGTAACAAGGAATCACTATATCAAGTTTTCTCCTGCAATTATATGTGAAGCATAATAATGGCAGTGAAATTCATGAATATAAACGAAAACAAAGAGAGAGAGGAGAGAGAATTTACCTGTCCTGATAGATACTGAAAACCCCCACGGCATGGATCATATCATAAGTTCTTGGATAAGTAGAGAAGGCCTCACACCAGTCCTGATAAGTTCCAATGAATCCACGTTCATATATCATGCCAAGAGTGTCATGTTCAGAATTCGCAGGCACCACATTCATAACCCAGACAGGGTCTTCAGCCATAGCAGCTGCAAAGCCACCTAAATTAGCATTCATGTCCATTATGTTTCTGTAACGCCCATGTGCTAGAGTCTCGATAATTCTCTTGTAATGGCGCACTCGCTTCTTCCATAGATCATTATCCACTTGAAATTTCTCAGCTGTGATTCCAGGGATTGAGCCACTAGTTATTCTTGGAGGAACTGCCATGGCTCTTTCAGGCCATTTGTCCAGGGATCCACCAGCCACCTCGCTGGAATCGCTGACTTCTGGGAGTGGGGTTATGCATGTCTCCATCTTCTTGTACCTTTGGATGGAGAGAGAGAGAGAGAGAGAGAGAGAGAGAGAGAGAGAGAGAGAGAGAGAGAGAGAGAGAGAGTAGTAGTAGTAACGTAACGTACTAGTACGTAACGTACGTAGTACGTACGTAACGTATAAGTAACGTAAGTAACGTAACGTTAACGTAGTACTATACGTAC